CTGAGGTTCGAGAACAGCGGAACAGGTGCGTATTGTTGCACCTCAGTGAAGAATAAATTATGGGTAACTTCTGAGAACCATTAATAGACTGTAATTATATATATATATATATATATATATATATATATATATATATATATATATATTGTTATTGAGCAACCATTCAGTAACCAGATTATGCATATCTATACTCCTCTTATTATAAGCCTTGTTTTAATCTACAGACTATTATGATACGATTTACTATTCTGGATGACACAATGAATGAAGAAAATCAAAAACGTTTTTACTGTACACTATTGGCACAAATGGTCTGTGTGTTCCAGTCGAAGTATCACAAATTATAATAGAGTCGGAATATTTTAGTGGAGCACTTTTTAAGAATAGACTCGAATTTTGTTTACAAACAGCAAGATCAGAATCATCAACCTGTAAACGTGCAATGTCCAATAAACCAATTCCTTTAGTGGAGATAATAGCAGCAACGTTGAAATGTGATAAAGTATCTGCCACAATATTTGACTCACCTTTTGTAAACTGTATGTTAGTCGAAAATTGGGAAATGTAATCTAATTGTCGAATTCCTATGGGAGAACAATGATCACATTTGGCATTAAAGGCGTATGTCAAAGGAATGTGATCGATGAATATTACAAAATCTCTACCTTGCAGTAAATGTTTAACCGCTAAGTAAATAGCCAATAATTCTCTACCAATAGTGCTGTGTCCCGTTTGAGTTGGTCTAGTTTCTTTGAAAAGAAAGCAAGTGCTTTGATTCCATTATTTACTCCTTTTTGTAGTACCGCACCTACTGCTGCCCGGGACGCGTCTGTACACAGAATCAGTGTTGCTTTTGGGTCAGGACTTAGGTAGGTCAACATGCTAGTAGAAGCAATTGCTGTTTTAACTTCAAGAAAAGCATCTTTCGCTTCGGAGGATAGTATTAAATTTTCGGCTTCGCCTTTTAACACCTCTGTTAAGGGTTGCAGAATGGCTAAGCAGTGTGGAATAAACCGACAATAAAAATTAATCATCCCCAAGAAACCTCGAAGATTATTCAATGAATCTGGTTCTGGAAAATTTTTGATGGCTGCAATTTTTGTATCTAACGGTTTGATACCATGTTTGTCAATCGAGTGACCTAAAATCTCTACGCTCTCGACTCCGAAAATGCATTTGGATGGATTAATAACTATACCAAATCTTTGAAATATTTCGAGTAGTTGATGTAGGTGATCAATATGTTCGTGGAACGAACTGCTAGCTATTAATACATCGTCGATATACACATAAATGAAATCTAGGCCTTTGGTAACCTTATCCATAAATCTTTAAAATGTCTACGCGGCGTTCATTAATCCAAATGGCATTCTCAGAAAGTCAAACAAATCAAATGGAGTAATGATGGATGAGTTTGCTACATCCTCGGATGCTACTTGAATCTGATGGTACGCTCTTACAAGATCGATTTTAGAAAAAATTTGTTTGCTACGGAACGTAAGCGAAAATCGTGCAAATGGGGTAACGACCAGATAACTTTAAGTCATTTAATGACCGATAATCACCACAGGGTCGCTAACCCTGATCTCGCCTAGGTACCGTGTGGAGTGGGGATGCCCAGAAGCTACTTGACGGACGTATGATTCCAAGTTGCATCATGTGCTCGAATTCGACTTTTGCAACTCTAAGCTTGTCCAGTGGTAATCGACGTGCATGTGTTGAAACTGGTTGGCTTTTGTGATGATTAGGTGCACTACGGAATGTTAGATGGTATTTTCAGTTTAGTTTGGTTTCGTTATCTTGGGAAATTTGGATTAAATATTGGCGAATATATCGTTTACTGGGGTGTTGATTTTACTACTATGTATATGATAGTGCGACTAAATTCTCAGAACTTGAAGTTTTTTTACGAGAATCGATAAGTTTTCGTTTTTTAACATCAACTAATAAGTTGTAGGAGCTTAGGAAGTCTGCATCTAATATAGGGTGACAAACATCAGCGGTAACAAACACCCAGCTTAGACGACGTCTAATTCCCAAGTTTAATGTTAGGATGTGTACTTCAAATGTCTTTATTTCAGTTTTATTAGCCGCTCTCAATGAGTATTTTCCACATTTGGCTATAGGTCTCTTGGCTAAGCTAACTGGAATTACGCTGACTTAGGATATAGTATCTGTTATGAATTTATAAAAAATAATAGGACTTATGTTATTGATCTTATGTCCGGCTTTTATCACGTGAATTGTCCACCAATCGAAATACGACTTAACGCTGTGACAAATCAATGACGTTCGACCAGTACGAGTAGTCTAGTGTCCTTATTGGTCCCTTGTCCGCCTAGCCCTTCCAATTCGGCCCAGAACACCAATTGCAGCTTCTGCTATGTGAATCATTTATTTCAAGCACACTCGGTTAATATAAGAGACAGACAGACCGCATCACGCCATAAAATAGAAAATAATATTTGTACAAGATCAAGCCAAATGTAGCTGTGAACGTGGGATACAATAATCAATAAACTGAATGTAATTTAGGAACAGTAAGTCGTATGATAATAATCCATAGATCAAAATGAAGCTTAGAATAAGATGAATATAGATATACACAATCTAGTTACTCAATAGTTAAACAATAAGAATATACGTAAAATAATCGTCCATTAATGGGTCCCGGAAATTACCCATACTTATGTCTTCGCTAGGATACAACAGTGTTTGCTGAGAATTTGTAGCCAGAAGTTTTGTCAAGAACGTGGAAGTGGTGACTAGGAGCATGACCAGTAACATGTGTCGCTACTACTGTCTGGTCGACACTTTTTGGCAAGGGAAATGACCTGAAAAATTTGCAGGACGTAACACGATTTCTTGCTTTGTCGCCATACTTTCTATGGTACCAACAGATGTGGTCGTCATATTTGTTTATTCTTGTAGTATCTCGGTTTTTACTCCCCCGATAACTATAGCGAGACCTTTGAAATATTAGATTAGAAATTAACGATTGTAATGCATCTAGCTTTTTTCAAGACTAGCAATAGTGTTTAAGTGATGTGTATGTAAGTCGCTTAATTCAGCTTTTAAGAGAGCTATGTTCAGAGTTTGCGTGTCACTCGGAGTTTCTGATATCGTCTACAAGTAAGGTGTTGCAGCAAGCATTACTTCTAAAATCTTGTCAGCCATGCTGACTCGACACTCTAAATCTAAAGGTTGGCTAGAAACACAGAGAATTAGCCTGAATACCGTTGCAGCCGAATTTCTTTCAGAAAGGCATCACGAACCTTCAAGGTCCAACCAACTGTCTCACCCTGCGTAATAGTTGAGAGGGTGACTTGTCACCTAACTTGCACTCATGCAGCTATTTTTGTAGCTTTTTTTCATCTGGTAGTGAGGTACGCTGCATAATAACTTGCCTCAGCTGATCATAGGCATTTGATGCAGGTACATTATCTATAAGATCTGATACCTCAGATGATACTTCAGTCGGTATGATCCCAAGCACATAACCGTATTTTGATTCCCGTGGACTATACTTCAGCCTGTGCAAATCAAATACTTGGGATTATTCTACTGCATTAAGGTATATTTATCACGTTTAGAGCGTGTAACTTTATTGAATCGCTATCCTGACAAATGCCTTCAGGTTCGGATGAATACATTACAAATATACAAAAAACAACCACTACCAAGAGGAAAAGTAACCCCGTAAGGGTTGTAAGTGAACTCAAAATTACGGTTTCGAGGAAAAATATACGGACTCACCAGAGGTCGTGAGTGTTTACTTTTAAAATCAAAACAGACGTTCAGTGACCCACCCACTTTCCATGATTGCCCAGCAAAAGTCAATCCGCAATGTTGGCTGACGTTTAAATGTTTAGCTTGTCAACATTGTGAGTGCAACGAAGAGATCTGATTTAGAACATATTCATGAATATATTTTCTTTGATGAAATTAACCATGAAATCGATCTTGATACAACTTCTAAAATGTTGTAGAGGAATAGAAAAACATGATATTTTAGGTTTATAGTAGACTTCGCTGCACGGAAATCGGAACACGGTATATTTATACAGAAACAATTCGTGGTAAATTTGAATCTGCTTTGGTATTCTATGGAACATTTCAAGGGCTAGAGTGGTATCACAACTTTCTATTCTTTTTAATATCTCGCACGTAAGCTAAACCAATTACAAAGTGTGAACTGCATAGTTAATCATAGTTCCAGACAATGAAACAGATGAAAGTCAGATTACATAAGCACAATTCATAATAATTTGAATAATTCAGTGGCGAAACCATAATTTGTAGACGAACCAATCAGATTGCGGATAACAGGTCTAGAATTTTGGTGCAAAATTCACTCAACCAGTTGTCTAAATAGCGGTTTGATATCATAGCTAGTGTCAGTTTGTGAAGAAAACTCTAAATCCAATCCCTAAACCTAACATCCATCTGCAAACCATAAGTCTAATTCGTCACATTTGGATCTAGTAAGTAGGTTGACACTGTAGCTGTAAATAATTCCCCAAAATCAATAGCTCATTAAGTGTTCGACATTGGATGCTGACCACGTTGTTTAAGTGGACTTGTTTAGCTGAAGACTTTCGGTCATGCATCCGCACCAGATCACGTTGCAACACGGTGTGGGACACAGCTCCTACGTTAAAATAGCCAGTTAAGAACGAAGTCTCTCGATATATTGGAAACGTATCAAATATATCTTTCCTGTTTCTTTTCGTCTGACTTCTGGTTTCTACTTGACTGGGAACGATCGATTATAGAAGATACTACTGGTTGCTAGTTGTAAAACTAGAATATCCGTTGTATCCTCAACACCCTTACGGTCTCTTTGAAGTCACTTAAAGGTCGTCCATAAATTATGTTATCAACATCTAGATTCAATTGACTCATGACCTCAACTATTAAAATCCAAATAATAACCACAAAAACCACTTCTGACATTAATCCAAGCTTATTCCTGTGATTTATGACCGACAAGCCAATCAAACGTTTAGTACGGCTAAACACCCACAGAGTTTTTAACACAGCATGTCCTCTATCATCCAATGCTCTTCCAGCGTTAGGCAATGTAATGACCTAGAAACAGCAAATCAGATTCCAGAGAAATCACACCGCATACCAATTGGCTAGAAATTAGCATATATTGATTAGCTGCAGTAGACCGCGTACTTTGAAAGTGGGGCTGTGTAAAATGCACGATCTACGGGAGGGTTGTGTTTTCGGGATGGGGAACCCACTTTTAGATATAATTGTAGACGCTGACGATTATATGTATCGAAAATACAATCTCAAGAAAGACAACGTTGTACTAGCTGAAGAAAAACACATGACTATTTACGACGAAATTGAAAAGAAAAAAAAATTGAACTATATTGCTGGAGGAGCCACATTGAACACAGTCAAAATGATCCAGTGGATACTTCAAAAACCATTTGTGTGTTCATACGTCGGATGCATAGGTGCCGACATACAAGGGAAATATATAAAGAATGATTGTTCGGCGTTGGACTTAGTGACTGAATTCCAAATCGCGGAGGAACCGCTTATGACCGGAAAGGTAGCAGTCCTAGTCAGCGAAAAATTACGTAGCATGGTTACCTACTTAGGAGCTGCGTGTGATCTTTCTTTGGCCCACATTGAGCAACCACATGTTTGGAGTCTTGTGGATAAAGCACAAGTGTATTATATTGCAGTAAGTTTAAATTGTATTATCTAGTTATTTTCAAGGGTTTCGTAATAAATACCTGTTATGAAGGTATGCTGAAAATAGCCAAACATTCTCTGGAAAATGAGAAGTTGTTCTGCTTCAATCTCAGTGCTCCTTTTCTATCTCAGTTTAATACTAAAGAAGTAAATGAAATGATATCCTACTCAAACATTGTCTTCGGAAATGAATCTGAAGCTGAAGCTTACGGAGATGTCCATGGTCTCCTCGAAGATACTGTTCATGCAACAGTCCGGTATATAGCAGACTTAACATTTGCTGACGGAAAAAAGCGTAAACGACTGGTCATTATAACACGAGGAAAAAACCCTTTGTTATATACCGATTCTTCTGATTCAGAAATCCATCAATTCATGGTGGAGCAGTTTACAGATGATCAAATAATAGATACGAATGGTGCTGGAGATGCGTTTGCAGCTGGATTTATTGCAGATTATATACGTGGTAAACCAATGATCACTTCTCTGCACGCAGCTGTGAAAGCTGCAGCCTATATTATATGCAGATCTGGCTTTTCCTTAGGTTCCAGAGATTCTTATTCGTTAAAAATAAACAAATAGGAAAAAGGGGAGTTGCCTTGGTTGTTTCTAGTGCCACATATTAGATAAGCATGTAGATATTTTTCACTTAGGCAATACGATAAGAACTGTCATTTTCCTTCTGAATTCCTGTTGTACATAGTAATTCTGATGCCACCGGTATTTTGGCAAGTTTGGTCATGGGATCTGAAGAGGAAATCATGTTCAATCCTGACAGTCTGCGAGTTTGTAGGGATTTGCGAAGAATGGTAGTTTTTTTATTTAGTGCCTTAGCAACACCATATGTCACATCATCGCGAGTAGAACCTATACCTCCGGATGTTATTACGTAGTCGTAACGGTTCATAAAGTTGCGAACTTCCTCTGAGATTGCATCTGAGTCATCAGGAATAACAGAAATCTACGTGTCCGGTTGCAGACATCATCTATGAAGAAATGGAGAGTCTACAATTGCTTGATATGGGTACGTGTAGCTCACGAAAAATGTCATCGAGACAATGCGTGCATAACGTTCCATAGTTAAAGCGAATTTGTGTACATAACCTTAAGTTTCACGAAATATAAACGCGTGTCGATCAATATACTGTAGGAATACGCTGGTCTGACTACTAGGAGGATCATATCTTTAAGTAGCTGGGTACATTTTGAGGATTCTCTGAGGACAAGTTAAGTTTCGGATTCCCGAAGTCAAATACAGCGTGCTGAAATATTTGGTCACAGATGTAACTATATTAGGAACTGAATTAGTCAATAAGCAGGATTACGTTCTAGACTTGATGAGGAGGAGGAATATGAAGTAGAATAATTTCCTCCCTCTTATGGCCGTGATTCAGATTAGGTAGGGTCTGAGTCTTAAGGATACTGGCCTTCTCATATAAGATATTGTTTTAAATGTCTCTAGGGTTATTTAGGTAAGTTTCTGTTACCTATGGTCCACATACAAATACGTACACTGGTTAAATTAAGTGCACTGTACTTGTTGAGTCGGCATCCGGAGAGGCTCATAAAGAGCCCCAGCCAATCAGAGTTCGATGGAACGTCCTGGGGTCCCAACGTGGCGTACTACTATTGGTCGGTAGCAATATATGTCGTTAATGGATTGGCTGAAATAGGATGTTGATCTAACACACGCTAACGTCTATAAATACCTAAGATTTTCTGTACAAAAATTAAACCTTGCAGTAAAGTGTTTCTCTGATACTCGTGTCTTCTCTCTGGTCTTCGAGTCGCTGAGTAGTGCTAGCCGTGGAGTTATCCGAATAGCTTAGGATCTGAATATAGCGTTCAACTTACAAGACATCAGTACTATAACAGTCTCAAAGTGATTGGCGAAATCCGTCATTTTGTGTATATCAAGTAAACGGAGACAGCTCAAGTGAATAGGTGAAATATGATACTCATTCCATGCAGCTAAAGCCGGCAATCTAGCTTCGAAGTTAGCACATGGGTTGTGTCAGTATCACCTCTAACCAACTCCAGGAAATGTTAAGGATTACTAATTGAGCTCATCAATGGGAATGTGGGAAACTGGTACACTATTTTCATTTTGGGCACTCGAACCTAAAAACGTGCAAATTTACGTTTGTCGCTGAACTGGAAGAATGGTGTTCATATTCTGTATAACACTCAAACCAATAAGATTTAGCAACAACATAGCCATTGCCCTGTGGTTTATTCTTGTTAGTCCAGAACCTCCATCTTATACAATAACTTTTAGTGTGGGGCTTTGTGTAAATTATTTTTTAACCTGATTGCTGCAAGTCAACGTGCGTTTCCCCAATTGAACACACCCTTCATAGTCATCTTAATGTACCTCAAAGGAGCCATTCGACCTCACGAATACGTGTTGGAGCTGCATTTCATGACACGACACACTAAATTTCAACGCCCTCCCACTTACAAATAATCAAAGGCCATCATAAATTTAATAGTTTGATTGACATAGTCATGAGTCTGTTATTTTCCAGCTTTTTTTGTGTAGTTGCATAATTTAGTGTGCTGAAATCCCTAAGTGTTGGTGCAAATTATGTTTGGATCAATTTTGTTCTTTTCTGTTTTTTGCTGCTGCTACTCAATTCCATGTATTCCTTCAAGCTACCTCGCTCGTCTTATGCTATAAAATAATAACCGGTTTTATCTTAAGTATTATTTTATAGATATTGAAAGCTGAAGTTTTTTCCAGCTAAAATGAGTGTTGCTGCCACATAGAACTGTCCGAATGTTCGTTCCTAAATGTCATTTATGATGTTATTGGGAGGGATGAAAGAAAACGGTCTCCGGTTTGTTATTTTCAGTATTATGAATAACCCTACCCCCGTCAACGTGTCAAACTAATACTGAGTGCCCAGTAGTTATGGATACCAGTGATAGATCTGTCAGGACCTCGTACATTTACTTTATTCTAGTGTAGTATGGTGTTATCTGTGTGAAAAATGACCAAAGACAAATGCATTATCTAAGTAGAATATATATATTTCAGTAATTTAATTCACTATTTTATACACTTGCAATAAGCAAAGTATAGTTGAATTGGATGGACACAACAATGTCGAAATAACTAGAGTGGAATAATAAAAGTATTGAATTAACACCTGTTTTAGACCTCTTTGATACTAAATTTGATCTATGCTGACGTTGGTAACTGTAATAACCAGCACTATTATTAGAACAGAGATAAGACAAGCAATAGAATATCTAGCAATTGTAGTGTAGTTTGTAAATCCGCCACGTTTAACCGGTCTAGTCGTCATTGTATTGAAATGAATACAAACTGTTCAATGTGTCAGTTAATAAGCGCGTCTCAAGTGTACATAGATGAACGTACTAGTGGAATATGATCAACAAATAGATTGCCACACAAGCAACCGAAGGATTATTGAGAAGACTCACACACAAGACTGTTATGATCTCTTTTACTACGACCAGGCTACTCTTATTGGTTAGTAATCTTTGACACTACTCTACAATTCACTAAATCAGAACACGGCTGAAAAGAAAACGTGGTTATAGTTCAAACAAGCAGGGTTGAACGGAAGTAAGAATCTCAAAAAAGAAGACGTTAATATATTTATAATCCTTCCATAAAAAGATTGTGGGGTATTCCCTAAGTATTCGCTAGCGCTCATTGGCTACGAAACGGCCAATCAACGTGCTCCAACACGATCCTGCACGTAACATGCTATATGCATCACGCTAACACATGCCATTTAAACAGATTCATAGAATCTGGTGTTAGAGCCCACTTGCATTGGCGTGACTGGCCTGTATTTTCAATTTCTCTGCCATCTAGGGAATAAGTGGTATCTGCCATTTTTTGTTCACACAGAGAATGGCCTGTCCGTTCCTGGGGTTTTTGATTTCACAGTCATCCAACAGAAGGAATTGATGAGAAGTCAAGAAAATGCCACAAGTATTCAGAGTTTGACAGCGCTTTAACCAGTAACATCTATTATGAATCGTACCCACCAAGTGAAATCAAAAGACAGAAGTGATGGAGATTCGAAGATATATTTGATAGGTTGTCAATATAACGTGGATCGACTGGTCTAATCTGGCTAGCGAATGTAGGGGATGTTGATCACGGCATTCCAAATCGTGATCTGGTGCGGAGGCATGACCGAACGTGGTCAGCGTCTAATATTGAACACTTACAGAGCTATTTATTTTGAGGATTTATTTACCGCTACATATCACTCCACCCCAGTGAGGTAGTGATGACTCTACGATGTGGCCAGATAGAAGTTTAAAGCCAACGAGTTTGTCGTTGGTAAACACTCTTCTGATAGCTTGCTATGCTCAGCAGTGTCTGGTCGTCTTTCCTTACTATATGGGACCGTAAATTTATATATATATATATATATATATATATATATATATATATATATATATATATATATATAGTGATAAGGAAACAAAGTACAGTGAAAATTGGGGTTCCTCATAAACTTCATCGATCTTTTTAACGTATTTTCCATTCGTCCTGGATAAGAAAAAAAGAATATGTAAGTGCATATCGAGATACACTCGTACACGCCTACAGACACAAAGTAGGCGAAAAAAGGCAAGTAAACTCATATACAGACGATAGCGTAAAAGCGACTTTTCAAGAATTTTTGACTAAAATATTAAACATACATATGTTAGAAAACAATTTTGTTTTTTGAAATAAATATATAAGTATAAGCATATTAAGTTTCTTATCACATATATTACAAAGGGAAATCGAGATAAAGTGAAATGTTAATTGGTGTTTACTTGAAATAATCGTCAAAATGTTCTAGAAATCTTACCTTTATTCCAGAACGCGTTGTTTTAAGTTTATTTCTAGATATTATAAGTATAAGAGCCGTGTTGTTCGACTGTACCAAAGGAAAATCGATGCGGACAGGATTTCTTTCTAAACACTCTGCTTTGGTTCGATCAATTCTGATGCTATCGTCAACTCTGTTCTTGTCAACCACATAGTACTTATGTTCTCGCTGAATAACTTTGAGGGGTCCTTCGTTTGTTGGTTCGAGAGGTCGTTAATGTGAGTCTCGACGTACGAAGACATGTGTACTATATCGTATGTTAGCTTGAACGAAAACATTAGTTGATTGTGGTCGAGTAGAAGCACGTTTGACTGAACGCTTTGCGCTTGTAAGCCTGCTCGTGTAGGAGTTTAGGTCCATGTTCGTTGAAGAAGATGGAGTTTTCACGAATTCTCCTAGAAGTCGAAGTGTCGTTCCATAAAAGAGTTGAGGTGCAATGCATCTCTGGAGACATGCTTGACAAACTAATCTTGTGAATAGTTTTTGATGTTATTTGTATTTATTCTGTCAATTTGTCACTGCATTTACATTTATCATCAAATGTGTGTGCGTGTTATTTAATGTATGACCTTGAACACACTTTCCTCTGTCGTATTATATTCATAGCATGACACGATGTTAACTGCTAACAAGCACACTCCTATACACACACCTTCTTTTCCCCCTCCGCTTGCGAATGTGTTAATTGAATTCCATGCCAAACGCTGTCTATATTTATAGACTGTAATTGGAATATATAATACTGTACATTTGTTTTTACCCCTGAGAGAATACCAACCTTACGGAATCAGTAAGTAAATGAATGCTACATGTAAATATGTTACAGTTGAAATGAGTTTGATCAATCGAAGTAAGGTTTAAACACTTGGGCGTGTAATTCACTTTATTCGGACAAGCGTAATAAACACCACCAAATTCATTGGGTAATTTCAGACAACTATAACGAATGTCAAAAAGCGAAGGTTGCTTACTAAACACTTTGCAAAGGCATTGACTGTCTCATGGAAAATGAAACCAGTGAATATTTTCAATGCGATGAAGCCGGCACACTTGATATTCTTATTTGATCTAAAATTCTCGAACCACTGTGATGTTAGCTAGTTTAATCGTAGTTATATCTTCCCTTCTACTATACCAAATCAGTTTGTCATTTGGAGCATAGAACCTGACATCTATGCTCTGCAGTAATATCAAGTTACATATTTGATTCTTCCTAACAGTCTCGTAGCAAACTGTTTCATTGTACAAAAAGGTCTCAAGGTTAGGTAACTGACATTTCCCGTAATATTGAGGGTGCTACAAAGCATAAACTTCATTTGAGAATGCATGATAATGTGCTGGTGTTTCTCGATACAGCCTAAATAAAACGTCACAAATTCACAATAGAATTCTTCCCTGTTTCATAGAAAATATCCAAACTTAATCGCATATCTCTTTTACTCACCTTTTTACGTATCGATGATTTCACATTGAATATATATGTTAACATAATTTAATCATATTTCAGACTGAACGATTAAAGTGAATTAGATTTTACAGCTTCGTCTGGGTCATCATATTTAAATTGTGTGGGTGTTATCAGACTACTCTTACATTATAAGCCTAATTAACCAAATTACTCTTATGATTTAAATCAACATTCCATAGTCTTTTTTGTACAACTATTTAATTATTTTTCATAGATAATTTTATAATAAATTTTGTTCACTAGCCATGCAATCGATTTTTAACTATTCAGCGACAACGAATTCATCCATTGAGCAAAAGCTAAACAAGTAATTTTCTCTGAAAGTCAGTGTTCGAAATGAGAACTAGCTCCGAACTGCCACAGAGTTATGTGCTTTGCACGACAAAAGTACTATTGATTGCTTAGCTCAACCCATAATATGTGTGGAAGTTTTAAATTGTGAACTGTGCTACGAACTGGAGACTTAAACGTATTCAAAGTGAAATCCGAAAACTCTCTTCGCTTACCAAACGACCAGTGAAGAACTCTGTGGCATATTTCGAGAAATGTATAATCCTTTCCAATATGAGTAGTATTGAAATCCATTCAAAATTCTCGGTGAATGTAACAAATGATTGAGGTGGGTTTCATTTATATGTAAGCCTGTACGATTTGTTGAGAGATGTTATTATAAGGAATACACTACTATTAGGATAGATCTCATCAATCTATGCAATACCATTGTTAGCAAGAACTAACTAGGATGGGTTTTATATGTGCTGATATTTCTGGCTGAAAATTTATTGTCAAAGCATATCCAGGATACGTGTGGTACTGAACAGTGGTGAAAACAATCTTTTATAGCTATTTCTTCAAAATTACAAATATTTATCACAAAATTACTTTACGAGTATTACATCGGAGAACTAATTAGTAGATGACTTTATTTCAATCAGTTTTAGTATTTTGATGCACACGACCAATGCGTTCACAAATCTCCTCGTCTAGTGTATATGCTGGATGGTATGCAATTCGTCCACTTTCTGTTATATACCTTAATTGGGGATTGGGATGAGTATCTTCCATACTTCCAATTGATGTGTATCTGTGATACAGAAAACAAACAAGGTATTGTCTAGTTAAAAATTGGTAGACGAGCTAGTGAGAAATGATAGAATTTAGGCTGAAATAGAAATATTGATAACAGAGGAAAATTATGGCTATTAAAATATATGTCGATTGTAATTACGTCATATAACGGCCTGAATTAATTAGCCAATGGTGAATCACTGGAACCAATCTTGGTGACTGTAAAGTATTATTTTCAAATTTGAGATTAAAGAGCACTTCGCAGAAGCCACAAAGTAAAGCCAGACTTAACTCCAGAGCGAACGCAAAAGTTTCGATATCAAACAATATTATTTTGAATATCTTTAAACCAAACGACTTTATTATTATAAGCTGTATACAATATTATATTTTCAGTACAAATTATTTCAACCAATTTCCGTTTCTTACTTCTTGGTCGATCCTGACGATAAATGTTGAGTGATCACCAGTTAGAAGTTAGCAGTCCTATAAATCGACATCTAAATAATGTACATTCTTTTCGCTGTATATTACCAGCACCCGTGATATCTCTGATTGGGCCTTTTGTAACTTGTACAACGAAAGGTTGTACACTTTTCAGAAACGCACCTGAATAGGCTATGCGATTAATAGCCATAATGATGTATTGAAACAAACAAAATTAGATAAGTTGTTGAGATATCTGGATGGCAGGAACAGGTAGCCCAGATGTTCAAGCAGGCCTCTGTAATCTTCCTGAAGAGAACATGGAGCATATTTACAGTTATATATATATATGTCTGACATCAGTGCTTCAGCTATTTTGTTGTTTGGCGTTGCTGCTTTCACACTCCTGATTTGCCTGATTACCGTCCTGATTTATTCCATCGTTGGTGGAGTGACAGCTATAGGAAGCTCTATTAAACAGTTCCTTGAAGTGCTCTATTTGTTGTGACTTTTAGCCCGGCTAATTATCACGTGATTTATTCGCCAATCGAAATATGACTTATACAGTCTTAGCACTGTGTCAAACCAATGACGCCCAACCGGTATGAGCAGCCTAGCATCCTTATAGGTCCTTTGCCCTCCTAATCCTGCTAGTTGAGTCCAGAACACCAACATCAGCTTCCACTCTGCGAATCATTTATGTCAAACATACCTGGCTTATATACGAGGCAAACGGAAATAACATTTGTACAAGATCAAGCCAAAACGTGGCTGTGGTTGTCGGTGATGGCAATTGATAGACTGAGTATAATTTAAGAATAGTAAATCGTATCATAATAGTCTGTAGATCAAAACAAGGCTTATAATAAGAGGAGTATAGATATGCATAATCTGGTTACTGAATGGTTGCTCAATAACAATATATGTATAATTTTAGTCTACTAATGGTTCTCAGAAGTTACCCATAATTTATTCTTCACTGAGGTGCAACAATACGCACCTGTTCCGCTGTTCTCGAACCTCAGTGATTGGTTTGTCTTTTGTGTTCATGACTGGTTGCTCTGGTTTACTATATTCTCCAGCTAGTTTCTTTGTCATGTAATATAGTTGTCTCATATTACCTTCCCTTACAGTTTCTTCCGTTGTCACTGATATCTTCCATATATTTCTGCTTATCATCATTGATGCTCTTCTTCAGCCGTTGGTTCGCTTCCGTGCATTCACAATGAGCCTTAGTTTTCTCTGCTTTCAATTGGTTGTTATTGACTACTCACTTATTGTTCTTCCTTTCTTGAGCCCTGTCCAGGGTTTCCACAGAGATCCATTTTTTATGATGATGCTTCTTGCAGCGCAGTACCTTTCGGCACGCTAAAATTAGTGCTTCACTGATCTCTCTCCACTTGTTCTCCATAGTAGTTTTCTCTTCTTTGAGTAGATCTTGTAAGGCCTGAAACCTGATGCCGAGAGATATCTTAAATTCGTTGAGTATGTCAGTACCTCGAGGGTAGACTGTAATAAACCTTTGTATTGCTATTCCTCCAGTTATCCAGTGCTGTTTTAGCTTCAGTTTCACCCTGGCAACTGCTAGCTAGTGGTGATCTCAAGCTATGTCAGATTCTCTCTTGGTTCTCACATCTTCCGTTGATCAATTCGGCTCTCCGTAGTGTGATCCGGTGAGACCCATGTAACTTTATTTGTGCGTTTGTGTGAGGATATAGTGCCGCCTAAAACCATCTTGTTGAAGGCACATAAATTTGCGAATCCCTCACCATTCTCATTCATTTCACCCAGCCAATATCGTCCCATGATGTTTTTATCCAGTGTTGTCCATCCTGACTCTGGTGCTTAGGTCATTTATCATGATGGTTAGATCCTTTTCTTAGGCACTTCTTTGCGATCGACTGCAGCCTCTCGTAGAACTGATCTTTATCGTCTTCATTGCCATCATTGGTGGATACATAGTACTGAACAACATGCATTGCGATCCTCTCATTTTTCGTTTTGAAAGATGATTTGATGAGCCTGGATTCACGAGATTCCCATTCCATAAGTGCTCTTGGTAATTCTCTGAAGAGGATCAGTACAACTCCCTGTCCGTGCGAAGCATTTTGTTTCTTTACAACCAGAGTATAACACATCTTCCTAATCTTTCTTTTTTTGATCAAACTAGATCCAATAGTTTTAACTTATTCCAAGCATCTCACATTTCTGCAGCAAGTTGACTGGTTTTTATGATCTTTCACATAATAATAAGATTCCATGTATGTACATTAATTGTTGCTCTGGTTTTTAAAAGGGACATCGGCCTAACAACTTCCGAAGAATCTCGACTTCACCATGAGTCATAATTCTTCTATATGAAGATCCTTCAACTCTCAGGGTAGAGTGTAAATGGTTAAAATTGTTTACTCTGGTTAGCGTTTTCTTACCAAGGTTGTTTTCTATGGGATAGGGTTCCTGACCCTATGCGCAACTCTTCTTCTTTACGCAGACTTGGGACATGCAGTATCATTAGAGGAGTTACAGGCGGAGGTATACGTAATGTTAGCTGACGTTTAATTGTTAATACGTTGACATTTCGAAAATCAAGCGGATTTATGATTCATAACATATTCATGGATCTATTTCCTAAAAAGACCCTAGTGAGGCATTTTAATTTAAGGTTTTTATTTACAGAAATAATTTTGATAATTACCCAGCGTCATACAGACTGCAGTATGGAAGCGAAAGAGATCGGAGAAAATTCCATACATCAGAATATGTCCACTCTAAAAGTGGATTGATCCGAAGAATTTGAGGCCAACCAGGATCTGACATTACCATATAAGACATTTTGTCTACGTAGAACATAAAAGTTAAACAGTAAAACCCATTATTATCAGAAATATATTAGTACCATAGTAATGAATAAGTCACCACAATAGCTATTCGTACAGCTTAACTTGCAAAGTGGTCAGCAAACAATTACTGAACATAGAGGACGAGTCTTTAAACATTACTATCTTATCTGACCCGCCGAAATGTGATCACAAGAGCATGACGCAGATTATTTTCTAAACATCCATTTGGGAATGCATGATTAAATAAACTGAAAATAGGTGTTTCAGTGTCAGCTAGGCATGTCGATTGAAGTAAGTTAAGACAAAAAACAGCAAATTCAAGATCCAAGAGTGAAGTCACAGTACTAATCTTTCTAAAAGCAAGTTGAACAGATAAATGAAAACGTCTTATTTTGTGACCGTGATGCGGTCAGATATCCAGGAGATTCACTTCCCTCGAGACTATTTCAATATCATATACATGGAATTGTTTGTGAGGTAACTAAGTAGCAATAATAAATACGACCTGTAATGCTAGTGTACAGTCCTAATGAGGGGCCAATTCGAAGGAAATGCTACCTTGTTCAACTTGTTTCTTTTTCTGGATTCTCCTTTAGGACTTTTGATTTATTGAAACATTTATCTATTTATAGCAGAAAAAGGGTAATAACAAAAATGAAATCAAGTCAAAAATGAATGGTGATACTTACATGCCCCAGGATCTGTGTATCTTGTACCCATGAAGGCACCTCTTATTTCAGGATAATCCCCTAAAAATCTTTCCAATGCACTTTTAATAGATCCCTCATATACAACTACGTTATTATCCATTGAGCACGATGAAGACTGTGAATTTACATCAGTTTGTCGCTGTTCATTTTGTTTTAAATCTGGTCGTAAAATTTTACTCGATAATGAATAATACACATCAACTGTTTTTTCAACAAATAGTTCAGTTTCTGGAAAACTAGAACACGAACGAATATACAAAAGTTTCGGTAATCTTGGTTTTATATTTTCCGAATGGTTGTTATTATTATGACTTTGGTGTTGAATTGCAGCATGGATTAAGTGAAGTAACGCTGTGCAATCTTTACCACCATTGAAACATATAACTAGCTCAGAATCACTTTGAAAGTATAAAAAAATGTAACATATTCTTTTAATGCTTTATATATGCGGTATTTCAATAATGAAACTGGTTATGTTTGACTAAAAACGGATTAAGGAAAATTTAACTTAAAGGTTGTTTCAGGATACGTAAGACGGTATAGTTAGACTAGATAGCGTTTTAATTAGTAGGACAGTGAAATAGGATATCCCCCACTTTATATTTCAGTTTATCCTGGTACATAATCAGAATAATGCCATTGGGTAGTTTATTGGGTTGATGAATTAATTACCTTAGAATATTCACTATTTTCTAATTGAAATTTTAAGGTGATTAAAAATGTATATGGTAAAGAGGTGTGTCGTTGTTGAATAATAAATCCGCACACTCAAATGTCAGGTGTCGCTTAAGAATTCTTCTTTATCAAGACAAGTAGTATGGGGGAAGAGCAGTCGGATTTATTATCCACTCAACTGTTCAATGAAATCGATTATTTGTTACTGCAGCGAATTAGTTGCCTACATATAAATAAGAATAACAATATGTGCTATAAGATTTGATATTACTCCCAAGAATTTTTCATCCGATTTATTCACTGTAATAGATATCAGTTTATAAAGAAGAAAATGAGATACAACGAAATACAACCATAAATTTCATGTTGATATCAATTACATGGTTATTTTAAATAAAAACTGAAACCTTTTCTATCCACACTTTCATTTTTTCAAAAAGAATTAATTGACACTTTAAAAACATTTTTGGATAATTTTTCTATAAAAAAAAGTGTGAGCAGGATAATTCAGTTTAAATTCCTCTTGAAGAATACCTTTAAGCCTTTTAATTATTCGCTAGCGAACCATTTGTACTAGACTGTCGAAATTAGTCCACCTGGATGATAATAATTATTATTATTATTATCATCTATTTTCATGAAAATTTATAAAAATAAAGACGTGAAAGTTATTTTTCGATAAGAAGTAGATTACAATCTTCATTCTAATCTTGCATAGAAAATCCATATTGATGCATATGTTATTTTTTTACAAGAAAAATCATAGACCTTTAGTGTTAAATTTACAAGGTTCATGAAAAAAATGACCAGTAGTTAAATAATATCTAAAATGATACGACAAAAATGTATCAATGCAGACGGTTTATACAAGTTATTGGATTTTAAAGCTTACGGTACGGATTGGACCTAAGGTTTGGGGGTTTGATCACCTATGGTTTTGTAAATGAGTACTGTTAAAGAGTCTCATATTAGAACGACACAACTGTCCAGTGCTTACTGGTTTCCGATGATTGTCTGACTAAGGTCAGTTTTTAATGTAGACTGCTAAAATGAATAAATTGGTTGGGCGAAAATAACAGTGTAGTTACTCAATCAAATGATTAACTCCAGTTTATCTAAAAGGAAACGAAAAATACACATTTGGTTCACTGGAAGTGTACCTGTATTTATTCAGTGCCTCTTCTATACACTGCAAAGATTTAGCTACACGTTTACCCAAATTGGATTCTGTCTGCTTACATAATTTATAAACTTCCTCATCAGCTTTATCGATTGGATATGGATTATACTGTATAATGTCTGAAAAAATACAGGGTATAAAAGTAAACAGATCAGCAGGAATGAACTGCTCGATAACAAAACAGAAAAAAGCGGTGTGATAATTAATTACTATAAATGAGTCGATTTTACATCTTCTAAACCATAACACAAAATGAATTCTATTGATTGTGTTTTATTTAGACATTTTGAGAACTATCAAGTAAGATTTTGTGTAAGATATCTCAACGACTTAAATAATTTCCTAGAATTGGTTGAATAGACGAAAGATTTTGTTATTCATGTGTTGTAGCGCCATTCGACAAAAGCAATCGCGTGCTACCGAATTCAAATCTAGATAAAGTGTTTATATAGATTTGCTTAGTTCATTTAAAATCAATCAAGGATCAATTCAATCAGTATAAACACTTTTTAAGAGAAATTATCATAAATAAAGTTCAAAACTGAAGAAATAAACAAAACTGAAAAACGAAAACTCACAATCTTTAAATAGACATTCAGCATCTTTGTAAGCCAACTTCAGAGTATCTTCTTCAAGTGAATCAAAGGCTATTCGCACACGATAATAGCTAATAGATAAAAACATGGAGATTTAATGGTTGGTTACATTTACTAATAAATAAAATATATTTCATTGTCTCCTATTAGTAGTGAGAAAGGAAATAAACATATATACTGGCGATTTGTTTTACTGTTCGAGGCATCAATCTCAAGTGACCTATAACTGTATTTTAATAAATTATACAAGTAACATGAATACTGCCGGTCCCAAGCCCGGGTAAAGGAGGAGGGTTGTGCATAGGGTTGACGTCACCATCCCGTAGAAAACCAACTAGCTAAAAAAACGCTAACCAGAAAAAATTATTCAAACCATTTAAACTCTGCCCTGGGAGTAGAAGGAATAATTATGATGTCTCATGATGAAAGCCGAGTTCCTTCGGAAGTCATCAGGCCGATGCACCTTCTTACAACCAGAGCAACAATTTTTATAGGTACATGGAGTGTCCAGACAATGTGGGAAACCAGGAGTCTTCCAAATTGCTGCAGAAATGAGAAAATACAACCTGGAGGTGCTGGGAATCAGTGAAACATATTGGACACAGATTGGACAACAACGACTATCTTCAGGGGAACTTCTGTTATACTCCGGTCATGAAGAATAAAATGCTACACATACACAAGGAGTTGCATTGATGCTGTCCAAACAAGCACAAAATGCACTTATAGGATGTGAATCTCATGGACCAAGGATCATCAAAGCCTCCTTCAAAATAAAGAGAGAGGGCATTACAATGAAAGTCATCCAGTGCTATGCGCCTACCAACGACTACGATGAAGACGATAAAGACCAATTCTACGATAGGCTGCAATCGATCCTCGAGAAGTGCCCAACAAAGGACCTCACCATTCTGATGGGAGATTTAAATTCCAAGGTTGGGATGGACGACACTGGATACGAAGACGTCATGGACTGCGAGAAAGGAACGAAAATGGTGAGAGATTTGCAAACCTATGTGCCTTCAGTAAACCAGTCATCAACAAAAAGTCCAGGAGAACGATGGAGGATGTGAGAACCATGAAAGGAGCTGATGCAGCATCAGATCATCATTTGCTGGTCGCCAAGATGAAACTAAAACTTAGGAAGCTCTGGACAACGGGGCGGACAACATCATAAAAGTTTAATACGGCTTTTCTTCGCGATACTGACAAACTCAACAAAATTCAACAGAGCCCTCAGCAACAGCTTCCAGGCCTTTCATGATCTACTCAATGGAGAGGGAACTACCATGGATAACAACTGGAAAGATATCAAGGAGGCAATCGTTTCAACATGTCAGAAGGTTCTGGGCCACGGGAAGCACCATCACAAGGAATGGATCACTGTTGGTACACTGGATAAAATTGAAGAAAGGAGGAAAAAGAAGGCAAAAATCAATACCAGACGAACAAGAGCACAAAAAGCCAAGGCACAGGCCGAATACACAGAGGCAAACAAGCAAGTGAAGAGGAGCATCACAACCGAAAAACGTAAATATGTGGAAGATCTAGCAATGACAGCGGAAAAAGGCTGCAAGAAAAGGAAGTGAGACAATTGTATGATGCAACAAAGAAACTTGCTGGAAATTACCGTAAACCAGAACGACCAGTGGAAAGCAAGGAAGGCAAAGTAATCACCAACATTGAAGAACAACGAAACAGGTGGGTAGAACACTTCAAAGAACTCTTGAATCGACCAGCTCCATTGAACGCAGGCAACATTGAAGTAGCACACACTGACCTCCCAATCGATGTTGGCCCACCAACAATTGAAGAGATCACCATGGCCATCAGACAAATCAAGAGCGGCAAAGCAGCGGGACCAGACAACATCCCGGCAGAGGCACTGAAAGCAGATTTAGCAATAACTGCAGAGATACTCCACATTCTCCTTAGTAAGATTTGGAAGGAAGAACAAGTACCAACAGACTGAAAAGAAGGACTTCTGATCAAGATCTCAGCAAGTGTGATGACTACAGGGGCATCACTCTTCTCTCAATACCAGCAAAAGTTTTCAACAGGGTATTATTAAGCAGAATGAGGGACTCTGTGGACGCCTAACTCCGAGATCAACAGGCCGGATTTCGTAAGAATCGATCGTGAACAACCCAAATCGCAACTCTATAGATCATTGTGGAACAATCAATTGAATGGAATTCATCACTCTACATCAACTTCATTGACTACGAGAAGGCATTTGATAGCGTGGACAAGACAACACTATGGAGGCTTCTTCGACACTACGGCGTACCTGAGAAGATAGTCAATATCAAACGGAATTCCTTTGATGGATTGAACTGCCAAATCGTCCATGGAGGACAACTCATCGACTCATTCGAGGTAAAGACCGGTGTCAGGCAAGGTTGCTTACTCTCACCCTTTCTCTTTCTCCTGGTGGTCGACTGGATCATGAAGACGTCAACATCTGGAAGGAAGCACGGGATAGAATGGACAGATAGGATGCAACTGGATGATTTAGACTTCGCAAATGATCTGGATCTTCTATCACACACGCAACAACAAATTGAGAAGACAACCAGTGTAGCAGCAGTAGATCTCAATATAAACAAAGGGAAAAGCAAGGCTGTCCGACACAATACAACATGCACCAATCGAATTACACTTGGCGGAGAAGCTTTGGAGGATGTAAAAACCTCTACATATCTGGACAGCATCATCGATGAACACGGTGGATCTGCTGCAGATGTGAGGGCGAGGATCGGCAAAGCAAGAGCAGCATATTTACAACTGAAGAACATCTGGAACTCAAGACAATTGTCAATCATCACCAAGATCAGAATTTTCAATACAAATGTGAAGACAGTTCTACTGTATGGGGCGGAGACGTGGAGAACTACGGAAGCCATCATCCAGGAAATACAGTTGTCTACGCAAAATACTTCGGATCGGTTGGCCAGACACTATCAGGTACAAGCTATTGTGGGAGACAACAAACCAGATTCCAGCGGAGGAAGAAGCGCTGGAAATGGATGAGACACACTTTGGGGAAATCACCCACAAGACAAGCCCTCACATGGAATCCTGAAGGCCGAAGGAGAAGAGGAAGATCGAAGAACACATTACGCCGAGAAATGGAGACAGACATGGGAAGAATGAACAAAAACTAGATAGAACTAGAAAGGAAGGCCCAGAACAGCGTGGGTTGGAGAATGCTGGTCGGCGGCCTATGCTCCATTGGGAGTAACAGGCGTAAGTAAGTAACATGAATATAAATGTATCCTCAAGATAAAAACAGATAGAGTTACTTGTTGTGAAATGCAGGATAAGATCCAATACTGACTACACCTTGATATTTTTCGGCTAAGCGGGACAAATCCTTCGCTATTTCAGTTTCCATAGTGGTTAGATATAAGGAACGATGAAAGAATATCACATTAGGATCTCGGATATGATCCTGTGTATAATACAAAAAAAGATGAATGGCAAAGTGAAAACAATGCGACACAAATTATATGAAGTGATTGAATAAACGCAATAACGTTATGGTAGTATACAGCTATTAACATAATTTTTATGCCAATAATCCTGAAACTGGATGTACGAATTTCGTGATGGTAATGTGTTGCTGGTATTTTGAAAAAGATAACCTTGGATTATTAGTACGAGCTTTATTAAACTAGATTGAGACAAGAAACCATTCTGGTACAATAGTATAAGCACGAGAATAAAACAACTACGACGAATTTTCAGACCGTTTCCAACTGATGAGAAAACAGCCTTCCAGGATGGATAGTTCATGGGAGTAAGAACCATATTATAAGGTGTAAGCAGGTACATAATTAATTTATTAAATTCCTTTACAGCTTACTCGTCCTGCAAATAAAAAAACAACGTTTAACACCATGATTCTAGACAATTTTCCCCATTGATAAATTTGACTAAATCAAGAACAACGAATGTACCAGAGTAACGTAAATTCATTTATATTGTGGTTTCTTTGTAGTTGCTTAGAATCTGACGTACATTTTTCAAATTATATGTTGGCAAAAAATTGTTTTTTCGTCACGTTAAATGTCTTGAGCATCAGAGATAGATATTTTTACTGCTCGTTACACACGATATTTGAATTTTATGCTGGAAACTAGATGTTTCTTTCTCGATTCTGATTAGCTCATCCCTATAGTAAAGCATGGTCAATATACTACATAAGATTAAAATGGACCATCCAATCAATCAATTGTGAAAGTCCCCATTTGTAAGAGGTTAAAATCATTCAAAAACCAGTAGAAAACGGATAATTCATGTTGAAGTGTTTTATTTTATTTATGTATTTGAACACATAAACATTGGTACAAGGAGGCGCCAAATATACATGCGCCATACAGATCGTTCGATTTGTGTGAAGTTTGGGATACTGCTCGAGTGCCCAGACCAAAGCCGGTGGTTTTCTTAGGGGGCCACTCGCCGAGCCTTTGACCTAAAGGTCTAATCCACAAGGCAGTGGAGCATCGTAAGGAGATGCAGTCCCATGGTAACTGATGATCAACAGTAGGTTCATACGCCATTTGTTCCCTCAGGATACTGAGACCCATGTGAACCAATGGTTTGGAATCAAGGTTTCCCAACTCCTCTATCTGAACCCTCCGTGTCCACTAACGTGGTTAAAGCGCCGGACATTCGCTTTTCGTCCTCTCGACTTCGTAAACAACACCCTCGCCATGAGAAGGTAGTGAATAGGACTTCCCTGACAGTGGTTGTATACGCGTGGCCATGTGAGAGTATTTAGAGAGGCAGAGCGGGCTCTCTACCCTCGGCCGTATCGGGGCACACGGGGGCTCATGTTGAAGTGAGTATCTTGTGACTATTCCAAACGATGTAGAATGAGAGAAGAGAAATTCCCAATTTCCGTTTACATCACGGACTACTAAAAAATCATATACTGAGATACAAAAGCCGTTTAATTATTTCTGGTTTTCATTGTTATCAATTTACTATCAGTCCGTGATGCAAATTTCAAAAATGTAAAAATCTAGACAAGATATTTTATATTATTAACTCCTCATTTATCAGCAGCATTTTGTTGCTAGGTCGTTACTAAACACATCAAAAGCTATTCAATAAAGGACAGTTGAAAACAAATGACATACATTTTAGTAAAGATGCAGCCGTCAAAAAAATTGATTATCACCGCTAATGTGCAACGCGAATAGGGTACCTTATTAGCACAAGTGTTCAAAGACATCACGGTTTATGTAACAAATAAATAGGACAAGGATAAAGAACAGAAACTCGTCGAGACATACGTGAGAAGTTCAAGTGTTTAAACTTGCTTTGAAAAACCAAGCTGAACCTAATTACATGCATTGTTTGGGAAATTATCTGTTAGGTCTTAAAAAAACTTGAAGTGGTTCAAAAACAAGAATAATGAGTTCTCACAAACGAAAAAAACAACCATACGGCAATGATATATTCTTACTACTTAAACACTAATTAATGACCTAGTCTTAAACACCAATAGTTTTTCTTGGCACAGTACGTTCTCTAACATCCAATGCTTTTAAAGGGTTAAACTTTACGATGACCTAGAAACGACAAATTGAGTTTTAGAGAAATCATGCTAAGTACCGGTTGGCTGAAAGGTAACTTATATAAATTTGCAAAACTGTCCGCCTACTGTAGAGGAAAAGTTCGTTAAAATGCATGATCTTCCAGAAGGTTATGTTTTCGGGATGGGGAACCCACTGTTAGATATATTGGTAGATGCTGATGATTATATGTATGAAAGGTACGAACTTCAAAAAGACAACGCCATACTGGCTAAGGAAGAACATATGGCAATTTACGACGAAATTCAGAAAAGAAAAAATGTGAAATATGTTGCTGGAGGAGCCACATTGAACACAGTCAAAATGATCCAGTGGATACTTCAAAACCCATTTGTGTGTTCATACGTCGGATGCATAGGTGCCGACATACAAGGGAAATATATAAAGAATGATTGTTCGGCGTTGGACTTAGTGACTGAATTCCAAATCGCGGAGGAACCGCTTATGACCGGAAAGGTAGCAGTCCTAGTCAGCGAAAAATTACGTAGCATGGTTACCTACTTAGGAGCTGCGTGTGATCTTTCTTTGGCCCACATTGAGCAACCACATGTTTGGAGTCTTGTGGATAAAGCACAAGTGTATTATATTGCAGTAAGTTTAAATTGTATTATCTAGTTATTTTCAAGGGTTTCGTAATAAATACCTGTTATGAAGGTATGCTGAAAATAGCCAAACATTCTCTGGAAAATGAGAAGTTGTTCTGCTTCAATCTCAGTGCTACTTTCCTACCTAGGTTTAATACTAAAGAAGTAAATGAAATGATATCCTACTCACGAATCGTAATTGGGAACGAGTCTGAAGCTGCAACGTTTGGAGAGGTTCATAGTCTTACTGATGGAACCGTTCATGCAACAACCCGGTATATAGCAGACTTACCATTTGCTGACGGAAAAAAGCGTAAACGATTGGTCATTATAACACAAGGGAAAGATCCCATAATATATACAGATTCTACTGACCCTACCGTTCATCAATATGTTGTAGAGCAGTTGAAGGACGAAGAAATGGTGGATACAAATGGAGCTGGAGATTCCTTTGCCGCCGGATTTATTGCAGATTATATACGTAATAAGCCAATGATCACGTCGCTACAGTCAGGTGTGAAAGCTGCGGCCTACATTATACGTAGATCTGGCTTTTCCTTAGGTTTGAGTCTAGTGCGTTCAAAATAAATTTATAGAACAGAACCAAACTTACCTTAATTATCTCTAGTGCCATATTAAACAAGCATGGAACTCCCGGTAAAATGAAGATATTCTTCACTTTGACAATAGGATAAGAACTTTCACTTCCCATCTGGATTCCTGTTGCATATAGTAATTCAGATGACTCCGGTATTTTGGCAAGTTTGGTCATGGGATCTGAAGAGGAAATCATGTTCGGTTCTAATAGTCTCCTGAGAGTTTGGAGGAACTTTGAATGAATGATAATTTTTTCATTTAGTGCCTTAGCAACACCTTCATACGTCACATCATCGTGAGTAGAACCTATACCTCCGGATGTTATTACGTAGTCGTAACGGTTCATAAAGTTGCGAACTTCCTCCGAGATTGCATTTGAGTCATCAGGAATGACAGAAATCTACATTAGGGTGTTATCTTGTGTATTTAAGTTACCTTCCGAAGTCGTACACCGAAAAGCGGGGCAGTGAGGCATAGTTGTCGTGAATTGCAATCTTTCGCTTTTCCATTCAGTATTTCGTCACCGATAACTGAAATTAGTTGTAGTTAAGGGAGATTTGTGAATAAATTATTCACTTGCAACAAATATTTATTAGGTGTGTGAAAAGTTTCAAGTCCGGTTGCAGACATCATCTATGAAGAAATGGAGAGTCTACAATTGCTTGATATGGGTACGTGTAGCTCACGAAAAATGTGTCATCGAGACAATGTGTGCATAGCGTTTCATAGCGAGAGCGAATCTGTGGTCATAAGTTTACGTCTACTAGCAAACTGTGTACATAACAATGGGAAGCCTTGATTTTCATGAGATCTGAACCTGTGTCGGTCAATATACTGCGGGAATACGCTGGTTTGACTGTTAGGAGGATCATATCTTTAAATAGCTAGGTACATTTTGAGAATTCTTTGAGAATACGTGGTAAGTTTCGGATTTCCGAAGTCAAATACAGAGTGCCGAAATATTTGGTTACTGATGTAACTATATTGGAAAACTAGGTTATCAATAAATCACTCTTTGACATTCACTAGTTAATGTATGTATTTAGTAGGATTACTTTCTAGACTTAATAATGATGGGAAACCTGAAGTAGGATAATTTACGTCCTATTTTGGCGATGATTCGGATTAGGTAAGGTCAGGTTCCTAAGAATACTACCCTACTCATAAATGATATTGTTTTAAATAGTATTTCTATGTTATTTAGATAACATGAATTCATTATCCTTTGTGGTTTCTCATAAGCTTCTTACAACCTTATATGTATTGAAACTGAACATAGAGGTACGACTTATCGATTCATATGTACTTGCTAATCATATTACGTTGGAAGAACGGCGAGACTAAAGAACATGGACGAGCCAATCAGAAGCTTTCGTGGGTTTTCAAGGTCACGGCGCTAAGTTCGGTACCTGATGCTTACGTACGGTCGGTTTACAACGGATTTTAGAGAAAACATGATAATTAAGCGTCTACAAGATAAGTTATCATAAGATTTTGGCGCAAAACTCAATTATACATTTGGACAGAGTTGTGGCATTATAGTTGATGTCAGTTCGTGATGAAAACCGTAAGTATAATTCCTAACCTTAACCATGAACTGTAAATCATAATTTGAATTCTTCACACGGGTTTATGACCCTCATTTAGTCTTAGTTATTACGTTTACACTCTCAGATTCACTCTAGCGTCGCTCAAATGTTGTCCATAATTCATAGTCTCATCTTTAACCCTAAACCTTAACCCTAATCTTAAACCCTGAACCATACCAACATACCGACAACACTGAAACTATGTGGTCGAGGCTGAAAGAATTTTCGGGACTTTATCATGGTTTCAGAGGTCGGCTACTATGGAGCCACAGGGATGAGTTCCTGTGCCGGATGCACTATGATTTTAGAACTTCTGAACCTATATCTAACCTTGATAAGTTTTTGATTCATGTAAAAGAACACTATCCCCTTTAATTTTTGAGTTTTATATAATATATTTTTACTGTATGCTAACTGTCTTCTGATTGGCTAATATTTCTCAAGGTCATTTAAGATTCGTTCAAAGGTCGTCCATGTTCTTTAGTCTCGCCGGAAGAACATAGAGAAAAGCATATGTATGCATTTCCGAGAACGTTTCAAAGAATTTGAGACTGAAAGGAGTAACACTTCTAGATACAATAGCTCAGTATTTAATTAACACCGGGCATACTATCGATATTCTACAAGCCTTTGAAATTATTAGCAGACTAAAAAGTGTAGCGTCTCTCCGGTTTTCAGTAGCATAAGGAATAAAAAAACGAAAGCCTAACTCGTGTATCCAGAATGAAACAATAATCAAGTTATCGCTAGCTTGGCATAATATTTTTTATTATCATTATTTCATTAGCGTTTATTTTGTGTGGTCTTTGCCAAACTAACTCTTATTTTATGTAAACCAATAACATCCGTTTATTTGAGCGGCTTTTATTTTACTTAATGCTCTTGTATAAACTCTTCAAATCCTGTTCAATAATTAAGTAACACATCTTGTCAACTTATAATTCCTGTAATCCTATGTAAACCCTTCAAAATATTTGAAACTATCACACAAACAATCTGTTTCCGGACCTTATTTAATTACTACTCACTGCTGCCCCCCTTTCGTTTTTGAATTCCATCTTCGGTGAGATTATAATTTGTGGACGACCTTTGAGCGACACTGAAATGACCTTGAGAGTGTCTAGCTAATAACTAGGACTAAATGATGGTTACAAACCAGTGAGGAATTAGAATAATGATTTACCATTGATGGTTAAGGTTAAGAATTATATTTAGGGTTCTAATCACGAACTGACACCAGCTATAATGCCAAAACTCTATTTATCCAAATGGATGCTTGAATTTCGCGCCAAAATCTAAGACCTGTTATCTTATACCTGATTAGTTTGTCTATAAATTATAGTCTTGCTCCATCTTCCGATGACCTCACACCTGTTCAGATATACAGTTAATATTGGCAATATTTGTCATTCTAAATCTTTTCATTACCATAGTCTACTGTTTCACATCATATCACACCTCATTACCAACTTTTACTATATATATGTTTGTAAGCAGTTGATGTTAAACCACAAAATATAATGAATTCATATTCTGCCTCAACTGTTGTTTTGGCTTTATCCAAACTAGTGAATAACATCGGAGCTGACAAGCAGAAATATGTAGAAGACATGATAACGACAGTAGAAAGGTGTGCAAAAGAAAGAATTACGCAAGAACTACATGATACCATAAAAAAGCCAGTAGGGAAAAAAACAGCACACAGACTTCCCTACAAATATTACCACGCCAACAATATTAGCAAGGCCGTCAGATAAACTGGTAATACCAAAGTACCATGACCAGATAGCATACCAGATGAAACCTTTTTCACCACTACAGAGTACTTGAGATAGTCACCATCATACGAAACTCCAATGAAACTTCAATGGAAAACCGTTTATGGAGGACAGCTCACAGATACCTTCTCATTGTATACTTGTTTCAGATAAGACTGCCTACCCTCGCTGTTCCTTTTTGTGCTAGCTTATGACTAGATCATGAAGACCTCTACAGTTCAGGATAAGCACGGAATACAATGAGGACTGAGGGCGTAGCTGCATGATTTTAATTCTGCAGACGGATCAACCTTCCTACTATGTACATAGAGGCAAGCAAGAACAAGTACAGCCAGTATAGAAGAGAATTACGCAGAAATAAATTTTAATATTAACAAGGCAAAAACGCGCGAACCTAAATTATGACAGAGTGGCATGTAAGTCCAACTTATGAAGGTTTTATTAAAGAAGTGAGGTTTACTGCGTCTGTGAAGCAATGCTACTGAGTAACAACTGGAATGAAAAGCCCGAAACATAGTCCCTAGGAGGTTTACAGGTAAGGACCTATATAGGTAAATACTTCTTGAGATGAATATCAGGGTTATGTTATGAGTAAATAAAAACCAACGTAGTGAGGGTAAACGTTACGACAGTTACTTAGGACTATATTAGTGCTAATCTGTTATCTGCCTTATGCTCAGTGGGTGAGACTATAGTTTATGGACATCCTGTGAGCGATGCTAAAATGACAATGAGAAAACTTGACCACATGTTAAGTCAAACGAGGGTTATGCACTAGTGACGAAGTGGGATTGAGGTTTCCAGAAAGAAAGGTTTAGCACTCAAAGTTAGGGTTGTTGTCACGAAATGACATCAGCAATAATGGCAAAATGATACACAACCACACAGATAAATAAAATTCGTGAAAGAATCCAACGACCAACTCAAATCTCGTAAGTCATAGCCTCACTGTATAAAACAGAGCGCAAAGAGTCACCTTTAGTTACTGAAAAACTTGGAACATCTTTGGACCCTAAAATTAGATACCTATGAGACCGAGGGATTTCGGAGATACCATTTTTAGCGCGAAAGATTTAGTAGTCATACACCGCGCCATGACCTTCAGCTGAACTATTGCTTCAGTTTGAAAAACACAGGAGGCTAGGTGACCTGTGTAAATCCTGGCAATTGTGGTATCTCAACTGATCTTCCTTTCTTTTGAAAGCGTCAGCAGATGAGGCTTCAATCACGTGTTGTGGTAATGAATTTCATTTGCTGATGATCCAACGGGAAAGTCTAGAGACAAATGACAAGTAATTTGTTCTGGGTGTGTGAATATTTCCAGAGTTTCGTCACAAGTTTTCCGTTTTGGAGGAAAAGGAAAGTAGGGGGATATCAAATGCAAATTATTCTCCAAGTAATTTCAAAACTTTTATCAAGTCGCCTCTAGTTCATTTGTATGACTATGGAGGTAGTTTAGTCATTCGATCTTCATACGAGGGTTTTTCCACTTGAGGGGACTACCAAGTTGCGGTTCCTCGAAAATTTTCCAACGGCTCACTCTTTTTCATTAGGCAGGGGTTAACCGTTTATATGCAGTACTCAAGCCTAAGACGAGAGAGTACGTAAAATCGACATGATTGTGTGACCATTGATGAATCACTGGGTCCCGGCAAAATCACACTGCAATCAAGTCACGGAATATAGAACATTTCACCGTTAACCGTCAGAGTCAAGGACAACCACTACGTATCAGTTAACTGTACACCATGGACTGGCTCGTGAGGTGGTGGTCGTAAAGCCTACCTTGTACCAACTTTTACTGATAGTCTTCGACATTTGATGACGACTGCATTAGTTTCACTGAACAAAACGAAAGATTACCAACGTAGATTATCTGTGTCGAATGATTGCGGGTCTACTCGAGTTAGACGGGAATGGTGTGAACAACTAGCTAACGTTAAAGTCACACTTCGTCGTTAGTAATTAACGTGGAATAGCGTTTCGTCGTATCCCAAAACTATGGCCAATCAAGTAACCGTACAAAACAAACGACCTAGAATAGCTTCAGTGCTGAACAACAAGCGATCTGCCACACCAGTTTTCCAGTTATGAGTCTGTTTGTTTTTTTTGAATTTTATAAATCATTGCTTTATTTTCATCCTATTATATTGTGATATTTTTTCGTGTGTTGGGATATGCTTTCACTCGTTTATTCCTGCTTTTTATATTTGACGAGACGGAACAGATACCTAAAGTAATTAAGCTAAAGACTATGACTCCACCTCCATTCCAACTAATGTTTTTTCGGCCAGACAACATCGAGGCCTGGTTCTGCTACGCGGAAGCCAACTTTTACGGGCAAGACGTGACGTGTCCACGTACTAAAGTCACCACCGCGCGAATTTGACAGGTATGTCACACCTAGTATGTTTACTAGTGATGTTTCGGGGCCCTACAAAACTCTAAAAAGGTCTATTTTTGAACACGGAGATCTAACCGATCGACAATAGTTAGATCAACTCCTTAATAATATCGATCAGCAACACAGTTGTCAAGAATGAGAGGGGCGATTGGCCAAAGGACTTTCGACGATGGCCTACCTATACAACATTTTTTATCTAAACCTCCTCAACAAGTGTAAGCAGTGCTTGTCTCATTTCGAAACAACACTGTGGAAGAACTGGCCTCATTTGCTGATCGAATTCTGGAGATCTCGAAAACGTCTAACTACGAGGTCTATTCCGTGAGGCGAAAACCTCAGACGACATGAATTGACGTCACAGAACTCCGTCATACCCTGAAACGTTTTCATTGTCTTTGTCAAAACCGTGAACGATCACAAACTTCTCGAAGGAGTTCTTCACGAAAACGATCTGTCTCTAAATCATGAGTGGCAGATAACCCTGATTTGTGCTAGTATCATAACCAGTATGGAAAATCTCGAAATTGCTAGAAACCCCTTTATTTTCCAAGTCAAAACCGATCGACACGAAAAGGTTTCGCGAAACTTCCTGGCCTGCACTCGTCAACGGCAACTGTAGACGGTGAACTTAGCCATCTGTCATACGTGTCAGACGTGATTACGATAGTTCGTTACCTTTTCGCCACTGGTGCGGAAGTTGGCGTTCTTTCAGCAGGGTGTAAGAACCGACTTCACGAACTGGTTTCAAACTTGTAGACGGCAAACGGAAAGCCAATCTCTACATATGGTAAAAGGTACGTTTACCTTAACGTGGGTTTACGCAAACCCATTCACTGGATCTTCGTTGTTGCAGATATTTGTGTGCTAATCACTGGTATAGACCTGCTACAACGCCATAAGCTACTCGTCGATACGCGCAAACGGAGACCAGTAGACGGAAACACTAGTTTATCTGGTTGCGTAACTCCATTTTCTGGTCGCAGATGATCTCCAGTGACAGTTAAGCACACGATAGATCCATTCTATCAACCATTATTCGATAAGTACTCTGCGATATATTAAACACAGCTGAAATCGCCATGTGTAACCAGCAATGTTTCATATCACGTGATGGCTCTAGGACCACCTGTATTCTCGAAATCACTCCGACTGGTTCCCGAAAAGCTGAGGTTGGTTGATAACAAATTCGACCACGTGATCGACTTAGAAATCATTCAGTCATCGAACACCCGATGAGTATCTCCACTACACATGGGCCCTAATAAAGACAGCAAGGATTGGAGTCAAATTGATGACTATCGTTAATTGAATACGAGGACCATTCTTGACCGTTACCCGTTGCCTCACATTCCAGATCTGACTGTTACCTTAGAAGGTACAACTACCTTTTCTAAAAAAGACTTGGTTTAAACATATAAACAAATTCCCATAGCTGCTGAAGACATTCCTAAAACCTCTATCATCACTCCTTTCGGTCTCTAAGCACGTCTGCGCATGCTTTTAGGCTAAGAAATGCTGCACAAACATTTCAGATATTCATCAAGAACGGTGGAGAAGATTTGTATCTCAGGTGAGTGATTTTGATGTTGGTTTGTTCTCTGAGCTGGATGGTTTGGTCGTGAACCTTTCATCGTCATTCTGAACGACATCATCAGCACAAACTTCGGGTAGAAGTGAAGTGTTTGAATTTCTCCACATGTGATTCACAGCTTGTCCTCTGCACCTCGATGTTGATTGGTTCTTATTGACCTCAAATCTGTCATTGTTTATTTCTTTGTTTTGGTTGTATCTCCTATTGGTTTGATTTTTGTTCCTATGTTCCTGCATAATTTTCTTGATTGGTTGATAGATTGGATTGATTTCATTATGTTTGTTTATTGCTGATTGACCTGAGTGCCAAGCTTCTAAAAATTCTCTGGTATTTTCGGAATTGCCTCTGTCCAAAATCTGCACATTTTCCCAGTCGAATGTATGTCCGTAGTTGTCCACGTGTATTGATATGAGTGAAGAAATGTCGTGGCGTTTGACTGTTAATTGGTGTTCATGTAGGCAAAGATACAGGGGGCGTCTGCTTTGTCCAATATAGTGTTTGTTGCAGTTGGTACAATTTGTCTTGTAGATGATGTTTGTTTTGTCCTCTTTTGCCATTTCATCTTTTGGTTTGCATAAGATTGAGTGGAGGGACTTTGTTGGTTTGTGGGCTACACCTATTCCGAAGGTTTTCAGCAGCCTTGTTGTCATTTCCGATATGCCCTTTATGTATGGTAGGGTGATCCTTTTGTTGATTTTTATACTTGATTTCGTTTCTGATGGTGTGTGCGACTGGTATCTTTTGATGAAATTGATTGGATAGCCGTTCTTTTGAAGAATGGTTTTCAGATGTTTTTCTTCATTTTTTCGTGCTGTGATTGTATTGCAGTGTGTTCTCGCCCACTTGAACAAAGTTTGTACACAGTTGATTTTGTGAGTTCTTGGGTTGCTGCTATTGTAGTTGAGAATTTGATCGGTGTGGGTCGGCTTCCTGTGCACTTGAGTCCCTAGTTTTCCTGTGTCCGTTCTGGTGATTAATACATCTAAGAATGTTAAATTGTTGTCCGACTCTTGTTCCATTATGAACTTGATGTCGCTGAAGACGTTGTTGATCTGCTTGTAGGTGTTTTCTAGTTCCTCATTTTGACGTTGACGAATGTGTCGTCTACATAAGGAATCCAAATGTTTGGTATGATCACTGGTAGAATTGTGGTTTCTAGTCGTTGCATTACTGCTTCCGCGATGACTCCTGATATTGGTGATCCCATTGGTGTCCCTTTCGTTTGTTTGTAGATTTTGTTATTGAATCGGAAATATGTTGTTAGACATAGATCTATGAGTTCAAGTAGGCTTTGACTTCGAAGTTTCGTGTATTTCGTGAGGTTTTCGTCATTGTTTAGAAGCAAGGACAGAGTTTATTTTGCTAAGTTTGGTTCAATTGAAGTGAATAGTGCTGTTACATCGAAGGATATCATTAGTTCGTCGTCGTTGATTTGAATGTTCCTAATTTGATCAAGGAATTGTGTGGCTGATTTGATGGAGTGATTCGACGAATCTACTAAATGTTTCAGTATTCTTGAGATTTCTCTTGATAAATTGTACGTTGGTGTTCCTGGTAGTGCTACAATTGGACGTAGTGGGATGCTTGGTTTGTGTATCTTTGGTCTGCCGTAGAACCGAGGGAGTACTGGTCCGTTAGATTTCATTCCCCATTGATCTTGTTTCGTTATTTCTCCTGCTTTGACGAGTTTGTTTAAAGTTTTTGAAATGAGATTGTCTAGTTTTTTGACTGGATTTATGTCCATCGGTTTGTATGAACTTTTGTCCTCGAGTATTTCTTCGGCTTTCTTGATGTATTCTTATTAATCCATAATCACCGTGGCGCGTCCTTTGTCTGCTGGAACGATGACAATATGTTTTCTGGTTCTGAGTTTCTTCAAAGCTGTTTGTCCTTGTGACGTCAGTTGGTTGTTGCCCTTCATCCGTTGAGTTAGTGGTACTATAGATTGTCTTATTTCCTGTTGCGTTTCCTCACTTATTCCAGAAGTTTTGAGTGATGACTCTAGTGCTGCGTAGAATTCTAGTTTTGAGGCATAGCTTGTATTGTAATTTAATCCTTTTCA